AGGGACAGATAATCTGGCCCACAGTGCACTGAATGACACTCTTGCCTAATAGCTGTATTGCCCTCTGCCAGCTGAACAGCGTCTAGTTGGCAGATTCTGCACAGACCTGTACCAAATCTCTGTAAACATGTTTTCTGAATACGTCAAACCTCCATGTACTCTGATGTTTTCTGCCTTAAGTAATATGAAAAAAAAAAAAGAGAACTTTTTTTTTTTTTTTCATCCGACTGCCTTTTAGATAAATACTAAAATTCCAGAACACTTGGACGAATGAGTAATAGTCACCAATGAGGGGGAGGAGGATAAATGTTATAAAACAGCATCTGGTATGTATGAAACCAGCACAAGACTGAAAAATCCAGAATCTTCAATTGCCAGTATGTTAACTTCTTATAGGAAAATGCTGCTATTAAAAAAAAAAAATCAAAATAACTTTCTATTGAAAACCTTGACATTGCCTTTCATTTCCAGTATTAAAGTTAAAATGTGTGAAAATTGTCCTCATCTGTGTGAAGTAGAAACTCAGTGGTTCTTAATTCCCTGTTTCTCTAGAGATCTCCATGTTAGGTTTACTCATCYACCACACAGTGACCACATGACATTCAGAAGTTGGCCCTCAAATGCGGTAAGCCTGGGAGCCAGACTGAATGCCACTGGGCCCTCATAGTTTCTCTGGAGCTAAGTAAAATAGACAAATAAAACTCAAACCAACAGCAARAAAATTATTTTTAGTACTCATGATGAATGTTACTATTTGGAATTCAGTGATTGCTAAGTCCACAGATCCTCCTGTGGCAGGTAATGCACAAACACACACACTCACAAAAGACAGGGTTCTTGAGGGTCTGCATTTTTGGGTATTTCTGATCAGCTTTTGGGTCTTTTTTAAGCAACATATGCCTTTTTAAGCAACATATGCCTTCTCTGTTTATTTGGTGTGCATTGTTGCCTTCTGGGACAGATCAACAGTGCTGCGGAAAGAGGCTGTGAATCCATGATGACATGTTTTGATGAAGCCATGATGTTATGTTTTGATGGCATGTTGTATATGTCACATCATATTGCATATCATGTTACGCAGGTATACACTATGCATGGTCATGGCAGCCACAGTAAATCTGTGCATCTTTTTTAATGTTTGCTGCCCAGTTCATCCTATCCAGCTTTGGAAATTTTGGACCAGGTCAAACTTCTCGTGACCACTCAGCACAGGAATTCTCTTGCTGAGTGCCAAGCTGGTGGATATTTGTTCCTTTTCAGTTTTTCACYTTGCCATTTTGACTTCTGGCCACACACCTGCTTTGCCAACATGGAAAGACTGTAAGCCTTCTGCACTCTCTCTCTGGCCTCATCTGAATAAATAAGCAACAATCAGTGTAGCAGCTTGTAAAGAGAAAAAGAGTAAAGGGTGCTGTGACAGCAGGTGTGTTTTCCCCACAGCTGTAGAGCTCTGAACACCATACAAATGATAAGGCACAAATAAGATCACTAAAAGTACTGCAAAAATTAWTGAATTTTGCAACACATGATATGCTTTTACCTCAGAGGTATCCAGAAGGGCTCCAAAGGRAATTTAGCAAGGCTAATTATAGTTGGGAATCCAGACAAGTCATGGAAGAAGACCCAGTAACTGTGGTCATGTGAAAAGAGTCCTGGGCAGTGTAGGGAGATTGGCAAGCATTTAGAAGCACCAGCAAGAAGGACTCATGGAAGGCAGTGCCGAAAGCTTCCATAATATCAGCCAGTGAGTGCAACAGGATGTCAGCAATGTTTGCCAAAGACTRTCCATGGGATTGAGGCTCCTCAGTGGTGAGCAAGAATAGCATAGAAGGTACTGGCATAAGGACAGAAATGACATCATGGGGAGGGCTGGTGCAAAGAAAAAAGCTCTCAAGGACCGATTTATTTTTGTGCATGAGGAAAGATGTTTCTTAATTTCAAGATAGATACCTCCTGCTCAGGACTGAAGATATATGTGCATAGTCATCAGAAGAGTTAGATGAATCCAATAACTTTGAGATGTGTACAACTCTCCTGCTGCTTGCACCTCAACCACATAGATACTGACAAATATATCCATCTGCTGTAAAAGTAGAAGCTCTTCACCAGACTTGCTTGTCAGTTGTTCTGCTCAAACCACAGGACAAAACTTGTGTCTCATGATGAGCCTGCCTCTTTGCAGTCCATATACATCATATGGATGCTGGCTCACTCATGAGACTAAGATTGCCTAACCATAAAATAACACTGTATGCCTTTGAGTTCAATAGGGATTCAGTAATTATTTTCACCTAATAACCAAAGGAAAAAAAATCAAGCCGGAAATCAAAAGACAGTCCCTTTCATTGCACCACTGGAAACATTAAGAACTGTCTTTACAAAACCACAGGAAAGAGCAAGCTAAAAGGACACACATATTGGTAGAGTTTTAATTCAGACCTTGTAATTTTATTCTGAATTATAATAAATCAAAGGGAAACTGATTTTTTTTAAAATACCTGTTGGATTATGCAGAATGGAGTTCCTCTTCCTAATAGCTCTGAAAAGATTACTGTGTCATGAGGCTCCATCAATCAGAAGAGAAAACCCAAAGAGCAAGGGTAAATCGAAGGTTAAGTGCATATTGCTGAGGAATACCCTAACCACCTTCCTTTAATGATTCTATATCGGATGAGTTTGTGTTGATGGATCTATTAAGAACAAAAACCAGCAATCTATATTCATACAAAGGCTTTCTGCCCATATATTTCCCCCACTGTGTACAACCAGCTTGTATTTCGCCATCTCAGTAAACAAACTGTCACTATTTCCCAGTGTGTTGCTTTTCTAACAGAAAGAATAATTTTATTCTCAAAAGGCTGGTTATTAATTTATTTCTAAACTTTTCTTTAGCAGAGGAAAAGAGAGCACTCCCATAGTTTTCATTGTTCCTGTTTGACAGAGGGAAGAATAAAGGGAAAGGAAATAAAGCCCTAAATCTGTAAGAAGATCAAACTCCTTCCTGAAGTAACTCCAGTGAAACAACTTAATGCAGCACATAGATGTGCCTAGCCCATGTTTTTTACTCAGAAACAGTAAAAGTCTTAAATATTTCAGGAATCTCTAATAGTGCAATGTCTATACAGCAGGACTCAAGACAGAGATTTAGGTCTGGAAGAGAATTTCATTTTTGCATTGTTTGTGTCTTTTTTATTGCAGGGCTTGGAGACTTTACATCTTCAGGGAGACATACACTCCCTTTCTAAATCAAGAGATGGTCTGAGTTTGGTTTCACTGGAAGTTGGAACAGGCCACACAGGCATAGGAAACATGCTGTTAACTTAACGATGTGCTATTACATCATGTGAACACTAGAAAGGTGTATCATCAACATATTCCAGTTGTCTAATTTGTTCCTTAACTGATTTGCTGCTGCAGGCTGGTGCTTTTAGTGCTTTTAGCTCAAAAAGCGTGTTCTTTAAAATGGCAGGGGCTGCTAATTTTGTGCTAAAGCCTGGATTTATAAAATCAAACTTTTATAAAGTCTGAAACCTAAGGGATTGCTGTATGCTGTTGTTAAACTCCGCTTGTTTGCAACCTGATATATACCCTCTGGCAATGCCTGAATTCCCATACAGCAGTAACTTGGAGCTACATTAAACAATATAATGAAAACAAAAATTACTTCCCTTGCTTCTCACTGACTTTGATGCTTGGTGCTGTAAAAAAAGTCGTTGCTTGAGTTTTGATTTTGTAGGCAGTACCTCCTTAAGCTATCATCAGGCTATACAGCTACAGTCAACAGCAAAGGCATCAGAAGCCCTCTGTGCTGTAGCATCACATAGGCCTGCTCTGAAAATGCCTTTCAGGGTATTTGGGTCACTCTGCTGCTGATGGTTTGGGAAGCCTACCCTGGACAATGTCCTTACTAAGRGTGATACTCTGGCATCTCTCAAATCCTTACAAGATTTCCTTCAAGGTGCAGTGTACTACTCTGCTCCTGKGTTATGCTACCTCAAGTTCCCTTCTGTGAATACCATACCTACCTTTTGGGATGTCATTGAGCTTGCTTTTCCAAATGCTTCTGCTCTTTTTTAACGCTGTGTGAATGGTATACATGAAGAAAAGGGCTTCTTTTTCCCTCCAGTCGAGAAAAGCACCGAATTCTGAATGGAATGACAAGCAGCTGATCAGTTTCGGGTGTGCGAGCCTTAGTAAAGAAACGGGGGTGGTTCTTTCAGCCCCACTCCGTTTCTCCTAAKTATGGATTAAATCGCACTTTGTAAGTAAAAACGGTGTGAATGGTGTGCYAGGTCACATCCCGTCTACCTCCTCGCAAGCAGTAACAATTTCTGAAAGATTTAGCGCACACATTCAGGGTTCATGGAAGCCGTCCAGCGCGCTTCTAACGGCTTCGATCTAATTAGTCATTCAAGTTGTTTATTTTTAAACAACGTACAGAGGAACACGATAATTTTAGGATGCCGGTGGGGAGTGGGGGTAGCGGGGGAAGGCGGGAAGGGATGATTCTCTCCCACGGAGGAGCTYTTCCCGAGGCGGATGGCAAGGACGGGCGCGGGAAGCGCTCCTCGTGAGCGGGAAGTGATGCCCGCAGGCTGCCGTGAATGCGGCGGTCCCCCGACAAACCCACTCCACCGGCGCCCTCTCGCATTTCGCCCCTACGGCGCGGGAAGCCGCGCCCTCGGGACCAGGCGGCTCAGGGAGCCATCGCTCCCCAGGCTCCCTCAGGGCCGCAGCGGGATTAGCTCCGCGCCTGACCTGCCCTGCCGTGCCCGCAGCCCGCCCTGCCCCAACTGCTTAAGGCCGGCTCGGGGGCTCAGCTCCGGCTTAGCCCGGGGCTCCTGTCCCCGTGTCCCCTCGGGGACCGCTCCCCACCTGTCCGCGGGCGCTGCCCCTGACGTCATGGAAACACCCCCTTTCCCCCGCCCCACGGCCGGGAAGGCGGGCGGTGGCTCCCGTGGCGGGGCGGGGGCAGCGGCAGGCTCCTCCTGTTGGCCGGCGCGGCCGTCAGTCGAGCGCGGCGGTCCCGCCGCCGGTTCCGCTCGTGGCTGCTCCCCGGCAGCCGGAGCGAGCGCTCAGTCCGCACCGGCGCTTTACGCTGGCGGCTATCGCTCCTGCCAGGCTCCTTCCTCTCTCCCTCCCTTCCTCGCTCCTGCCTGCGGGGCGCCGCTGCCCGGGGGCCATGGCGGGGGCGCCCGGCGGGCCGTAGGTGTGGAGCTCAGGTGGGTGCCCGCCGTAGGGACGGGACGGGATGGGACAGGGCGGGCTGGTGGCGCGCAGCCCGGCGGGGCTGGCGGCGGTGGAGGCTGCCGTCGCTGGAGCGCCGCGGCGGGCCGGGGCTCCGCGGGACGAGCCGGGGCTCCGCGGGACGAGCCGGGGCTTCGCGGGACAGCAGCCGGCGAACTCGGCACGCAGGGAGAGTGGCGTTTTGGCGCCCAGAAAGCGCCGTTCTCGCCCGACCGGCAGCGAGGGCGCCCACGGCTCCTGGCCGGGGCGCGGGCGGGAGGCTGCTGCCGGTGCAGCGCCTCATCCCGCCTGCCCAGCCGAGCTCCCTCCAGCCTCCTCCTGCGGCTCTCGGGGTCCCCGGCCGCGCTGTCACAGCCCCTCGCGGCTGTTCCAGAGCGACAGCCAACTTAGACACCTTTCCTGCTCTGGGAGGGTGCCGCTGAGGGGTTTATTTGACTCCTGGAGTGCTCCGTGTGGCACCGAGCCGGAGCGAATTCCAGGTGAGCTGTGCCACACCGGGCAGCCGCTGCCCTGGAGGTGGGCTGGAGCAGCTCTCCCCGCTGCTGCGGGCTCTGGGGAATCGCCTGGCAGCCGGCTGGGTGTGAAATAGAACTTCAGAAATCTTAGGCGTGTTTGCAAAGTCGTCGATCTCTGCTCCATCTGTGGTTCTCTGTGCTCTTGTAAAATAAAGAAGGAAAAAAAGCCACCATTATTATTACTTTAATTTCTTAAAGAAATAAACCTATCTTAACCTATCTTAAAGAAAATAGGTTAATTAAATCCAGCTTGTTTCCASTTTGATTCAATTTCCATTTGAGAACCAAGTAGGCAAGGTGAGCTTTTAAATACTCCATTATTTGAAAACTGTTCTCTGTAAAGTTCAGTGGCAGTGAAGTACTCTTCACTAAGACTGTTTTATTTTTACTAGGAGAATATCTGGAATAGCTAGAGAAAAGGGCWTTTGATAAATGTAAGGTAAYTTTCTGCCTTRTGTTTTTGTCCTAGGCCGCTTATRTCTTCTCTCTCTGTTTTCTTGAGAAGGGACAAATGGAACAGTTGCTTCATCCCTTGACTTTCATCGATTAATCATAGAGTTCAGAGTGTTTCACTCATAGAGTTCAGAGTGTTTCACTCTACTTAATTTCAACAGAGCTTGTAAGTCCGGTTTGGTTATTTAATGCCTGTGTTTTCATGGGCATTTTCTGTAAAGCCATGGGTAGCAATAGTTTTAATTTCCATGAGCTTTGTTTCTTATTGTTTAAAGTATTTTTTTAAAAGATATCTTTAAATAAGTGTGCACTCCCAACAGATTAAGCGAACTGGTTTTCCGTTGTGGCTCCTATCTGATTGCAAAGCTAGCATTCACAAGTCTTGAATCTCTTTCTCTTTACTCTTATATTGCCTTCCCCACATTGCATTAGGCCCACTTACGTCCTTTCTTTTATAATTTTATATAGTATGGTTTGCATGCAGGAGAGTTGGGAGGGGACTTTTAGGTGTTGGAGATGTTCTCTCTGCRTGCACTGAACAGTTGTGGTTGTGCTGAAATTATTAGTGTGTTCACCAAGGACAGGAAATGATGGTGAGACTCTGCTGGAGTCTGCCTGTTGCAACACTGTATGTGGGTAGCTCATTCACTGTTGCAAATGTAAGTACACTGTATTTTATACAAAACCTTATTTGGTTTTTTTAAGTAGATGTGTGTACATTGTTGTAAAGAACTGGGTCTTGTTCAAACCACATCTATTATAAACAGTTGCAGGAATTAAGCTGACRTGCATTTGTTGGATTCTCTGGGTCTCGTTACATACTGAGGAGAAAATCTGGTCAAACATAGCATTTCYTGGATCTTATGGTTTCTGATTGTAAAACTACAAATGGTGCTCATAGCTACTAAATGAGATCAAGGCCTTTCTATAGAAAAGTTAATTCATATCTAAAGTGCTAATATATTTTAGGTTTAAATTTGATTTGCTGCAAAGTGCGTTTCAAAACCACAGAGATGAGCGAGGCAGCAGAGTGAGTATGTTACTCTGCATGGAGTATTTYTACATGTCAGAAGTAGTGTAGTACCTGTCATATCAGCATATTTTGATCTTACTGCATTTTATCTACATCAGTTCCAGTTAAGATTTGACTTACGAAAGTAGCAAAGTTTTGCTGGTAAAAGGTTGGGGTATAGATACTGTGATACACTGCTGCTAAGGTACCAAAGAAACTTCTAGGAGAATCTAATTGYCTTTTTTTCTGTATCAAGTTTCAGATAATAGGATGCAGATATACTGAGATCTGACAAACAGCTCTCTAGACCGGGACTAATATGTTACCAAATTTACCCTGCTCTGCTCTTTGAGATGCTGTATTTGCATGTCTGYCTTCTGCATTAGTGATTATGTTCAAACATTACACTTTGGGGAGCAGGCACTGTTTTTAGGYTCCTGCAGCTGTCACTTGTGCTATGTCCTTGAATACTGTGCCTTGAAATAGATATTTCATTGCTTTAGTTTCTCATTTATTTAAGGACTAGGAGGTTTTGTGTGTGCAACATTCAGTCCTGTTGTTCTCCATGTTGATTTCTAATTACCTTAGAGAGAAGTTTTCTCTCTATCTTCAAGGTTGAGTGATGTGGGTGTTGATGCTAATGACTATATAGCCCAGGTAAAGTTGTAGGCCTAATAGCCAAGAAAAACACAGCTCTGGGTCTGACCCTGGGAGGCAGAATATCCCTAACTCCTCTTTTCAATCCATTTTAGCTTGTTGCTTGTGCAAAGTTCTTGATGATGCTTGTGTCTTTCACATAGGGTTCTCACATATGTTCAGAAATAGATTCTATTGTATATGAAGTTATGACATGAACGAATGAACGTGAATGAAGTGTTGGRGTTTTGGAACTCTGTCAGCATGAAGCTGGTGGCACATTGTTGCRAGTCGCTTGAAACATTTAAAAATAAAGTCAAGGACAGCCTCAGCTGGGGAAGAAAATAGAGAACTTGAACAAATTCTTTTTGATTTTCTGTATTCAGCTGTTGCAACTGAGATAATTATTAAATGATCAGAGCTGTTGTGGCTGCTGGGTTTGTTTATTTGTTTGGGGGGTTTTATTTTTTTTTTCTAAAATACAAATTCAATGACAATTCTGGTACTTGCCTGGCTGCTAAAAGCAATGAGGGCTTTAGGAATGCTAGCTGAAACCGATAAATGTACTTGTCCATTGCAGCTCAGCCTCTACTGTCCTGCCTGTCTGGTGTGCCTGACTCAGTGCAAGCTCCTTAGGGTAGAAGTCACGTGTTGGTGTGTGGCACTGAGCACAGCAGGGCCTAATCCTATTTCAGTGTCTGGGCACTCCATGATGTTAACCATGAAAGTAAAGAAACACACTTGAGCTGCTTTCAATCTGGCAGGTGCTGAGCACTTTTTGCAGTATCTGTTTCCTATTTGCTGATGATTTACAGTCTTTGGATGCAGGCTGTTCTAGAATGCCTCTCGAGTTGTTTTCTGTGGAAAATACATACTGATAAGCAAGACTTGACAGGAATCCCTGTTATGTGTAACAGGAGGAACGAATAAGAGAGAGAACTGACTTTCACTGACCTCTAAACCCTAAGCTGATGTAGCACCTTGGGAATTCCTTTGTGCATCTAGCTCTTGGAGCTATCTCTAAACTAAATAATTGTATATCTGGCTGTGAGACAGGCATCCTGACATAAAGATAGTGGCTTCCTAATAGCTTCTGGTAAGTCACAGGAGGAAGGCTGCAGATATGATGCTCTGTGTGCCTCTGCTGCTTTTCGATTTTCTAATTGTTAAGACTGAATGTGAAAACTCTTCCTTTGAAAGAAAGTCGTTGAAAACATACTAGGCAGGCTCTGCCTTCCTTGTCCAGCCATGAGGTGTGTATATATCTGTGTTTTTAGATTTCTCACTTCCAAGCCCAGCAGTTAAACTACAAGTACTTGAACTGAACATTTCTTCTCTAGTCTTTAAGTTGTGGGAGTTTGATGCCTGAATCATATTTAGGTTGGCAAACACAGCTGCTGCCATGTCAACACTTAATTATTTCCTTCTGAACATTTTCTTTGGCACTTATATTAATATGGGATGTGAACAAATCTCCCTTTCCTCTACTTTCCAATGTAATGCATAGATTGAGAATTAAGGAGATTTTTTTTTTTTATTCACCTTTACATATTAGCAACTTTTTAAGTCATCTTCACATTCTGCCTGCATGCTGGTTGAACTTAAACCTTAAAAAAAATCACAGCAAAATCATGACAGTATGTGACAGTATGTGGTGCTACGGTTGTCATGCAGCACTTGTATGTAATTGCTGCTCTTAGAACAAAGACAGTAACAATATGAATTAATAAAGGTGACAAACTCACCCTTGTTTGTGAGTGTTTCTAACTATTCTGTGTATTTTGTAGGGGTATCTTTTGAATTTCAGTTGTCACTTTTTGAACTATTATTATTAGGAAAAAAAATGAAATATTGGGTTTTCTGGCCATTCTGTGTATCCTTTGATGAATGTTTTCAGGGTAGAAATCTGAAATATTTCCCTTACTGAATGTAGTCATACTTTTCTTAATTGTAGCCAGTCCTGTCATTATTGTTCATGATGATACTGCAAAGAGTCTTTTATCACAACTGTAATCTCCTATCTCTTGTGCCAGTCACTTAGGTCACCCTCAGGTCACTTCTCTCTTATCTGATGCCACTTATTCTCATGATTCTGGAGGCTTTTCCTAGTCACAGTGTACACATTTTTACTGTTCCAATTTTAGTCTGTCCCACTTTCATATAGTTGTTGGTGAAAATGAATGAAGCTCCCGGTGTTAGTGGTTCTGATAGGGAGCAGCTGTGTGCATGTACTCCATTTGCCTCACATGTATATTCTGCCCAGAGAATAGCTGAAACCACTGAAGAGACAATTTCTGAACAGCCTGGCAATCAGCGAAAGGACCATGTGTGCAGGAGACTTTATCCTTCTCAGTGCACA